CCCAGAAATATTATTTCTGATTTACCCAATTCACATTTCTCTGGGTTGACTACTATTCCATTATCCGAAAGACGTTGGAATAATAGCGTAAGGTGTTGATAATGTTCATCTACGTTTGATGATGCGATCAGCAGGTCGTCAATATAGACGTGAACAAAATCCAAGTCTCGTACTATGCTATCGATAAACCTTTGGAAAGTTTGAGCAGCATTCCGTAATTCAAATGGCATACGTAGGAACTCAAACAGGCCGAAAGGAGTCGTGATAGCAGTTTTTTCGATGTCTTCAAGAGCGACTGGGATCTGGTGATATGCTCGTACCAGATCGATTTTAGAAAAGATAGTCGTGCCCTTGAGCGATGCCGTGATGTCGTGTATGTGGGGGATGGGGTAACTATCAAAGCGCGTAACTACGTTTAATGCTCGGTAGTCGCCGCATGGTCTCCAACTAACCCCATCCTTTTTGCGCACCATGTGTAAACGAGAGGCCCAAGGACTGTGAGAAGGACGAGTAATACCAGCAGATAGTAAATTGTCAATCTCACGTTTAGCGAAAGCTAATTTGTCCGGTGCCAGTCGGCGTGGTCTTGCCGTGACTGGTGGTCCGCGGGTGACTATGTGGTGTACCACACGATTGGTCACCGATTAAATCTCCTCGAGTGGTTTAGTTATTCTGGGGAATTTCTCGAATAAAGCGTGGAATTTATCGTCACGCGAATAAAAAGTGCCGAGGATTCGGTACGCGTACATCGGAGTCTATTATATTAATACTATTCTTATCGTTATCCGTCATGTCAAATATATTATATATTAAAAATTAATATGAAAATATATGACAGACGTGGATAGATAAAACAATAGACTCACCGAATTGCCTTCTTTGAAAGATTTGACCGAGGTTGAGGCGTGTTCCAATATTTGGCTCACCAAATGTAGCGTGGTGTCGAGTTGAGCTTGACTATGAACACCGCTACAAGACTACGTGTCAATTAACCAATAAGATCCCTGTAGGTCAATATCAGAAGACAGTGATGGCTGTAGTCGAGATGTATTTGTTGGCGATCTCGTGGTATCGAAAGAATACCGAGATCGTGTCAAAAGAGTACAAGCGTAGTTACTGAACGTAACCGAATTCGTACAAGTTCAAAGTCCACGGGAGAGTAAGTGAGAATAATGGCTGTCATGAGCACAGTTAAACAAACGAGCACAGTAAAACAGTCACTGGTACAATTGGTTATAATAATAATTGTTTTCATTGAACCAATCGCGTTCTGTAGACAAAAGTAGGTCACTACAAATTCATCACTCTATATCAACTTCATTGACTACGAAAAAGCATTTGATAGCGTGGACAGAACAACCCTATGGAAGCTTCTTCGACACTACGGCGTGCCTCAGAATATAGTCAATATTTGGGCAGTATCATCGATGAACACGGTGGATCTGATGCAGATGTGAAGGCACGGATCGGAAAAGCAAGAGCAGCATATTTACAACTGAAGAATATCTGGAACTCAAAACAATTGGCAACCAACACCAAAGTCAGAATTTTCAATACAAATGTGAAGACAGTTCTACTGTATGGGGCAGAAACCTGGAAAACTACGAAATCCATCATCCAAAAGATACAAGTGTTTATTAACAGTTGTCTACGCAAAATACTTCAGATCCGTCGACCACACACTATAAGCAACAACCTACTGTGGGAGAGAACAAATCAGATCCCAGTGGAGGAAGAAATCAGGAAGAAGCGCTGGAAATGGATAGGACACACATTGAGGAAAGCACCGAACTGAGTCACAAGACAAGCCCTCACATGGAATCCTCAAGGTCGAAGGAGGAGAGGAAGACCAAAGAACACATTACGACAGGAAATGGAGATAGATATGAGAAAAATGAACAAGAATTGGATGGAACTAAAAAAGAAGGCCCAGGACAGAGTGGGTTGGAGAATGCTGGTCGGCGGCCTGTGATCCATTGGGAGTAACAGGCGTAAGTAAGTAAGTAAGTAAGTAAGCATTCTCCCAAAAATTTTAGCAAAATTCCCTTATATTTGTAAAGAAAGTGAATGTGGATAATATCTCAGTTTAAAAGAATTATCTTTCGCATATCAAAGTTATTTATCATAAAGCCAACAACTAGCTAATTAAACTCGATAAAGTTTTTTGTCTAAAATAGGTCAAATGATGTGTTTTTAATGGGTCACTATTGCAGTTCCCGGACATCTGCCCGGGGATTTAAGCAAAAAATCTATCTGGCATGAATACAGTTCTTACGCTTCACACCGTATATCGTGCCCAGGGTGACCTCGGTTGAGTGATGGGGTTCATAATAGCCAAACACTGTTTAAGTTGGGTGACTTGTTTTCATCCTGTAAATCACCAACGTAGATGATCTATGTCGAATGATTGAGGGCCTACTAAAGTTAAACGGGAATGGTGTGACGAACCAGCTAACGTCAAAGTCAAAACTAGCGGCCTGAACCTTATGCGGATTTCCCATCAACGTATCGAGGTACTATAGATGCTTCGAAGACCGTACAGCACAAAGGACGTTATTACAGAAATATACTAGTTAAAGTAGATGCAAGCGAAATTATGACCACCTTCTCATGGGTAAGTCCACAGCGTACGACTAACTGGTGAGCATTAGTTGTCCTCGACCTTAACCAGGATCGATTATTTGATCGATTTTCAGTGACACAACAGCAGGATGATTTGCCTAGGACTCAGTGACATCCCACTGACCCTACAATCTACTACTATATTCAGACAGACATTGAAATAAGAAATTAGAAGATGAAGAGAAGTGCGAAATTAAAGTCAGCCAACTCGTCTACCAAACTCACTACAAGAGTTTATAAATCTCAAGAAAGATGATCAGTATTGTAACAGATACAGGCTTCGGATAGCACAATGAGTGACGGATGTTAATACATGTAAACAAAAGGCTCACAAGCGTAGGATTACAAGATTATGAACACAAGGCGTGTGTGTGCCGAAGGTCGAAAATTCCTATGAGAAGAATAGAGTTATTATGATGGTAAAAAATGACTAGTTATAAGATAAAAGCTCCAGACGCTACAACCCCAGTCAAATGACAGATAAAATTTTTCTTTTGAACGGGAAATCTGAAAAAGTTTTAACTCGATGTTTTTCAGTGACAAATTTGCATGTTATTCATACCATGATAAACATAGATGCCGTTTGAATACCTCAAAGATACTGAGAAAGACGATAAGCGCGCGTTGCGAAGTAGTAGGGTTCAAGTAAGCATTCAATAACCTCAATCAGTGGACGATACCACTGAAATATTGTTTTATCTGTGTCCTTTGGCTCTTTGTGACTCTCTTTTGTTATTGTAAAATCAGCACTGAGCATCGGTCTACAACCTGCTAATTTTATCTCTGACCAGAGTCCTATAAAACAAAATATGAAAGGTATACCTGTCATATTCACTAAGTATACTTAGTGAATAATTACACGGACCAAAGTCTATGCAAAACGTTGGGTCGTCTTTATGTAAATCTTAAAGTTTTGCTACATTTTGTTCCACATTTATCAATCTCCAAGTTTTGGGGAAATGGCACTAAACCCTAAAATACTCCCGAAAACTTAGGGGATTTCCCAAAACTAACAAGTAATTGTTATTATTACCGTATTTGGGTGGGTTTTTGTGTGAGTTATTCCATTAAAATAAAATTAGGGGCTTGTTTTATGGCTTTTTATCAATTGCCTTACATTTCCTGTTATTTCAGGATAAATACCTGTTATCTTATATGTGATTGGTTCGTCCATAAATTATGGTCTCGCCCTGTCTTTTAAATAATCGTATTTGAGGCCACTGTTTTGTAGTTCTCAAGCGTTTGATTTCTACTGACTGATGTTTACCCTTGGTCAGGTGTTCAGTCAACATCGTGGTTTTTTCTGTCCTAATGAAACTCAGTTCTGCATAAACTTACGAAAAACTTCCGGTTGAGTTGTTGCTAGTCAGATGTGGAGATGCTAAAGAAAATTCCCGCGTACAATAGGAACTTACAACTATGTTTCGCATTATATCCCTGTTAAAGCCATTTTCAAAATCTTAGTTGTGAAATTTTTCCATGCCTTAATCAACAATGACCAACCCAAGTGTAGTAAGACAAAATTGTTTTCTAAAGTAAAAGGCATAGTCTTTGTTCGTTTTATTGTTTCAATATTAAATCATCTGAATTCGATCTTTGAAATTAAACCAGGCTCTTCTGTCCCCGATCAAATCGCCATCCCAACAACACCCAGTGAGATGTTTTTGCTTTATTAATAATGTGTTACATCGGTGAGTTTCTGCACATGTAGACAATAAGGTCGTGATATTAGTAAATTTAGGTCTTTTCTCAACGATTGTATCGAATTTGTGTGATAAAATAATCTACATGTGTTTTGCCTCCTTCCTGGTTGTGACTTCAGGCACGGTTTAGAAGAATTTGAGTACGAGCAGTTAGTGTGTGTCTACTGACCTTTTGTTGCTCTGATACTGTGACAATATCATGTGAAGGTAAAGTAGTGAAAAAAACATTTGATCATTTCTATTTTTATATTACTGCTTGAGGGTGTTTTCTTTCAACGTCTGACTAATATATTTCTTCATCCAGCAATTCTTCATTCTTGCACAAATAAACCAGTAGTATTGTTAACTGTGGTGATTATTTATTAGTAAAATTGAGGATATTTTGATGGGATATAGCTTTCAACGCATAAGTTCTGTCTGAACTCAAGTAATGGTCATTTGCTCATTGATTATCAGTAACATTTAAAACTGCTGACAGAACAGGAGTCATGATCATTCCTATAATGCTTATTCTACTCTTCTTGATGATACCAAATAGTAACCAGCCACCATTAACACAGATCCTGGTAACTTTAGATTTAATTGACTTTCCATTAGTAATTTACTCATAAATTATTTTTAATTTCAATATTTACATTTTCAGAATCTTATATACAACTTAACCACTTTTGTAGTTGCTTTAGCTTTTTATCATTAACCGAATACAGTGAAGAATATAGTTTGTAAAATTCGACCTAGTTGATCAATACAAATGGATCTGATTTGTGATGTACTACGCATAAAATTAAGAGGAAATCAACATCGCCTTCTGTATTTTGATAAAGAGTTGAAATATTTACAGGACCTTATCACATCCACAGTTTCAAAAGGTGAAAGTAGCTCTATATTGATAATTGGTAGAAGAGGTGTTGGTAAACATCATGTAATTTTATGTAGTATGTATATTTTATGGCTTTAGCTAATTAAAGAAGCAATAAAAAAAGCGAAAGAAGACCCAAATATTGGCTCCGGGATTTCTGAAGTTTACTTAAACGGTTAGTATTATTTGTGATTGTGACTAGTGATTTCTCTTAACGTAGGTTTAGTTCATACAGATGACCGTTCTGCTATGAAATCACTAGCTAAACAACTACATAATGAAGCCCTATTAAATAATCTAGTCCAATCAGACTGTAATCCAACTTCTGATTTTCACAACAGTATGAAAAATTTGCCTTTTTCTCAACAGCTCAATTTATTCTTAAATGAGGTCCGTCAAAATCATGGAACTCGAAAAGCTGTTTTAATTGTCCTGAGTGAATTTGACCTTTTTGCTTTACATCATAATCAGTTGTTGTTGTACAATTTATTCGATTGTTGTCAATCTTCTGAATCTCGTATTTGTATCATTGGACTAACATGCCGTTTAGTAAGTTTTTATTACTTTTCGAAAGTTTCTAAAATTAAAATTAATTTATCGAAAAAACTAGTTGTGGTAAGATTCATCTTGAATGTAACACTTTTCAACACATTCTGTAACAGGCTATCCATCACCAGTTGATTTTTTGTGTGAATTCTCAAGCACATTTCGTCTTCAAACTATTATTCATTGGAAAATTACGTTTAGTAAAATAAATTCACAAAAGTTGTTTGATATTTTCTTATATTGTCCTGAACTATTCTTAAAGGTTAAAGGTACTTAAATTCCAATCACAACAGGTGTTAAAGATTAAAAACCAACTCCACCTGCTTGATTTAGGGACCCATTATTGGTTACTATCTCCCGAACAACTAAATTGTGGCGCTTAAAGTCTTGTGCATAAATCTTGTATGTAGTAAATGAATTGAATCACAATATGTGGTGGTCGTGTAGCTGTGTAGCCGTTAAGTCTTGTTATCCGAACCTGATGCTTTTATCGCTTAGTATTCATCGGACACTTTACCACACTCAACTAGTCCACGAAATCAGAACGTGGTTTGGAAAGATACGTAATTATATTCCAAATAAAACAAGTCGAATAGAAGTGCGTTACAGTAAAAAACGTCAATATATTTACAGTTTTACACAAGAAAACTCTAGTCTTTCAGTCACCTACTGGTGCTGATTGACTAAAAATAAACCAATCAATGTGCTCCAACATAATTCTGCATGAATGTGCTTTAATCCCAATTTACGTCCTGCTGACAACACACTGAATGTCAATTCCTAATAGGGATTATTATTGAGTCATCTTAGTATTGATTCAGGTTATGAGTTCAAACCATATTCTATATATTTCGTTCTGTTTTGTTCGGAGTTTTATCGTCAAGTTCAATTCTTTCGGTGTACTTAATAGTCTGTTTTCTGAACTCATTTATTGTTATTAAATATCTCCATTAGCGATATAAACCTGTCTTTTTTCTTAGTTTTTTGTGATATATCCCTAATATATATAGTCAACTTAACAATCATATAATGATGTTGATTTCCGAGTGTTATTTTGAATTTGTTTACTTCAGAATTCCATATTTATATCGTCTTTTTTCTTTTCTCGACATAACGTAGGATGTTATGGAGTTATTAGAAAAACGAGTTAAATCAAGATTTTCGCACCGTCAAATTTATCTTACATCACCTGGAGCACCAATTGAGAATACTGATTCTTATGCATCTGACAACAACAACAGTAACAATAATTCACGATCTGAACCATTTAAACGATTTTGTGAAATTTGTAAACATTTGTTAAGTGTTGATATTCATGATCTACCACCACAATTATCACCATTATTGCGTAAATTCAACTCTAAAGAGTATCATGAATTAGAGTTGTCAATTAAATCGTGGAATCATCATATTACAAAATTAATGCTTGATGAAATTGTAATTGATTCGTTAAGACAAGCATGGTCTATTTCAGTGAGCATTAAACGTTTGACCAATTTGTTGGTACGTTTTGTTCATGTATCCACTAAATTCTTATTGTTGTTTTCAATGTTTAGACGGTGTTTTTACGTCCCCCCACTTGCGTTTTCTTTTTTTACGTATTAATGTTTAATTAGCTTTTTGGGGTTGCCCCCAAATGCCCTGGTACGACCGAGAGTGGGGAGAGTCCGCTCTCCCTCTCGAAATGCTCTCACATGGCCATGCGTATATAGCCTCTGCCAGGGAAGTCCTACTCACTGCCTTCTCGTGGCGGGGGTGTTGTTTACAAAAAATGAGAGGACGAAAAGCGAATGTCTGGCGCTTTAACCGGACCCCAAACCAATGGTGCACATGGGCTCCAGTATCCTGCGGGAACAAATGGCGTATGAACCAATCGTTGGTCACCGGCTACCATGGGACTGCATCTCCTCACGATGCTCCACTGCCTTGTAGATCAGACGTTCAGGTCAAAGGCTTGGGGTGTGGCCCCCTAAGAAAACCACCTGCTTCGGTTTGGGCACCCGGGCAGTATTACAGCCCTCACACAAATCAATTGAGATTTGTGTGGCGCATATGTATTTGGTGCCTCCCTGTACCTATACTTATGTGTTAAAATAAATAAATAAATAAGCTTTTTCCTCAATATCTACTTGTATTTGGCTTTATTCGTGTATTTGTCAGTGATAAAAAGGTTTGTAGACTGATTACGTAACTACAAACTATGTCTAGATTTCGGTTTTGAAATTATCTTTTCCAAATTAGTAAGTTACTGACTATATAATATCTAGAGATGTAACCAACAAGAAACCTAACTTGACCAGAGTTTCTTTCTATCTGACTGCTCGTCGGCAAAGCACATCTACGATTTTGCAGGAACTAACCCCCCATTCCGTGGAATTAAAACACTCACCACCCAACTTCGTAGTATGAAATGTTACCAATAAGCTGTCTGGGCAATCATTAACATATGGGACAGATATTTTCGGTTGATTGATCGCTGAGTGCTGTCATTAGTATCATACTATCCAATCTATAAAATCAAGTAAATTGAAATTCTTTCTTTGTCCTCAATTTACTTTTTGGATGTTTGACTACCAAAATTAGTAAGTGTATATTCTACCAAGTTGTTTACTGATGCCGAATTGATAAAAGTATGATTTTTTAAAAGATTATTGAACATTTAGTTCAGTGTTTCATATTTTGTCTAATAATTTTTATTATTTGAACAGTATTGTTGTCCCAGTTGATCTAATGTATGTTCATTAATATACCTAAATTCATGATTGACTGGTTAACAACAGTGTTTTAAATGTATTGGGCTACTAAGTAATACATTTTTAGCGGAAAATGTCCGATTGTCATGCGTAAACGCACTTCTTTTTTAGTTGTGTAATAAGTCGTACTGTTCCTTTCAAATCAATTTCCATGTTCATTTGAAAAGATTCCAATAGTTGCTTCGCTTGGACCTGAACACGATCATATTGAACCAGTGCAATTTATAGAATCTTTATGTACATTACAACAAGATTCAAAGCTCACTGCACTGAAAGGTGAGTGTCCCAAAATTTTTGTTTATTTCTATTGAAGCAACGAATATCGTTGTCTAGTATCAAAATTGACTTGGTTATCATTAGTATAACATTGCTACGGTCAAGTTTTCAGTGAATTTGTTTTTCCTCATTTATACAGTAAAGATTTCAAAAATACCCAATTATATGTAGCGGGGATGGAAATTCATGAATGAATCAAATTTTGCTTATTGATTTGCCCCCAAAAATTGTATCACTGATGTTTTTATTGACCAACACGGTAGTTATCGTGGTTCGTAAAGTTATGTGAATTCATTTTTATGCCAACAGTTACTTCATTTTACTTGCTACTCCGTTTAGTGTTATTCGATTACAGTGTGGAGTGGTTCAGTTATCTACCAAAAATAGGAAGGGAATACATTTGAATAGTTTTGTTTAGCTCTCAGTTTTGGAGGATCACACTGTCGTAACCCATGTTTGTATTTTATTGACCTATATGTTTCGCTAAATCAAAAATTTAAGGTTAGTATTTATTATGAACTGCTTTTTTTGCTGGTATGATTCGTTCATGAAGTATTATCCGTCAAGAAACAATAAAGCTACCTTGATATTCTGGTTAATATCGGGGTGATTCTGCGATGGGATAATAGATTTCATATATTGGGGCAACTAAGGCGACGTAATTGAATGTTTAATCACGAAACCGCGACAGAGATATCCCAACCAAACTTTTCAGTGTCAAACGACTGATTAAGTTCTTGGTTATTGAGCTTCGTGTTCCAAATATTATTTACTTGTTATTCACACTGTAAACAATTATGCCAACTTTTATGCTTATAAATTAATGATGGAATGTCATGATAAAAGCATTTGTTTATATCGTCATCTCTCATCTTAAAATGGCAGAGTCGATTTTCAACTAGTGCATCACTGGCTCCAAATTTTCTTTGTCAAAGAAAGACTGGGCAATCAGACAGTATAGTTAGCCTTCATAGTGTATCTTTACAGCAAACTTGTAGATGCAAATATCTACATGGTTGTTGAGCTGAATTATATTTCCTTGGAATCAAGATATTATTACAAACCTTGCATCTACAGAGAAACACGTTATTTTCTTTTATTCGTGTTCAATAGGCTGTTCCGTATTGGAGCTATTTTTAATTACTGCTATGGTCAAACTTCAAGATATGAATGATGGAAAACCGGTTAACTTTGAGAGTTTGTATTCTGGTAAGTTAGTCTTTTACAAATCGATACTTAAATATTGTGTTTTAGTATGATTGAATAACAAAATTGTTAACGGTAGGAAAGTAATAAAGAGGTTTTCTTAACTCATATAAGAGCTCCCGAATGCCCTGGAACGGCCGTGTCGGGCGAGTTCACTCTTCCTCTCAAAATGCTCTCACATGGCCACGCGTATATAGCCACTACCAGGGAAGTCCTACTCACTGCCTTCTCGCTGTGTGGGTGTTGTTTACGAAATTGAGAGGACGGAAAACGAATGTCTGGCACTTCAACCGGGTTGATGGATACGAAGGATCCATCTATAATCTATGCCTCCTTGTACCAATATTTATGTTTCAATAAATAAATAAGCCAAGCAAAACCTTTCGATCTCGCACAGTAAATTTAGCTTAAAACAGAGTATGTGAATTTATACTTGCTTACTTAGTTGTCTTTTTATCATTCTCTGACTCATCAATGCACCATTTTCTAAACATCTTGTTTTGTTTTGAAGGTTTACAAATAAGGATTATAATAAGTGTTACTTGTAATGCATGGAAATCTTATTCATTATTATACCAGTATTACCTAAAGCGTCATTCATTACTACCAAGAGTGAAGTGTCTTACATCGTTTATAACAAATGAACTGATTCATCTGACACTTTTTTAGAATCATATTAGTACCGTTGGTCCCAATTTAAGCGATTTAATGAGAGCTTCTGGACAATTTAATGACCATTGTGTATAATTTAGTAACCGACTAATCCGTTATAATCGAAATAATTGAATGACTGTTTCAAACTACTACTATGACTGTACTGAGTCATGCAAATTTATTTTGGGAAGCATGAACTTTTACTTTTGGTATAATCAAATTATTTACGTTTTTCCACAATCATTATTTTTATTAAAACACAATTGTGTTTTAATATAATGGGAATTTTTCAGCCATTATTTTTATTCCCAGCTATCTCTGTATTTCAGTTCTATTCTACTCTTTTTCCCTTAGAATACTTAAAGTTTTGTCGTTCCAATTGTCCTGGTCATTTATACGATAAACCGGTTGTTATGAAAGCATTAGACAATCTAATTGACTTTGAACTGATTATATCTGGTAAAGCTGCAATCACTGCATCCACTGGTTTATCGACCTCTGGATCCAACAATAAGGCTATTTGGAGTTCATCATCTGCTTTACCAAATTATCGTCCATTATTTTGTTATGTAGACAGTGATATTCTCACCGCTTGTTTAGATACTTATCCGAATTGTCCAGTTGAATTGCGATATTGGATACATTCAAGGACGTTTTAATTAATTTTTGTTATTTTCCACGTCTTTTTTTCGAAAAATGTTTACATTACATTGGAGTGTAATACTATGTGCAATTGTACAAAATCCATTCAACAGTGCTTGTTTATTTCTATTCACTTGTAAATCTTTTGTGAATAAGACCATCAAAAAGTTTTGAATATAAAAGCCAAAGTTAAATTCCAACAACAACTGAAGCCACACTTAGGCAATTTCGAAGACGAGGCTGACCCAGATGTTGCTTGGGAAGATGTACGAACAGCTACGACATCTTTTAGCGATTTGAACCAAAGGGTCGCGGAAAACCAGTGGATTTCTGCGACATCTATTGCACTGATAGACTACCGTAAACCTATCTTACCAGGTTCCAAACACGATGAACAGCAAAAACAAATCCGATCTAGGCTAACCAGAAGTCTACGAAACGATCGTGAGTGGTGGGCAACGAAAGCAAAAGAGATGGGAAAGGCAGTAGTTGTAGGTAACACAAGACAACTTTTCAGACTAACAAAAGAAACCGGATTTAAGAAGTTAAGTTTGAGTGAGGTAATCATGTAGAACGATGGCACTTTTACATGCTCTCAGTCTAGAAGTTTAAAACTATGAACGGAACACTTTAAGAAGCAGTTCAGCTACTTTACAACTACCCACTATTTCCAAACAGCCTGAATGTAACATTAAAATAGGTCTCCTGACTTTAATATTAGTACAAAAAGCTATAGACAATCTGAAACGAGGAAGAGCAGCTGGCCCAGATGGATTAACTCCAAAGGTCTTTAAGGATGGTGGTCCAATTTTAGCGATTAGGTTGACAAATATTTTAGCTAAGATCTAGGAGTTGGACGGGATCCCATCTGATTGGTCACAATAACTGATTATCCCAATATATAAGAAAGGGTCAAAATCATTCTGTGACAGCCATAGACGGATGAGTTTGGCTAACATAGCATCTAAAATACTAGCCTCGATAATTATCGGACACCTAAATAAGTCTCGTGAACTGCAAACACGAGAAAATCAGACTGGCTTTAGACCTGGTCGTAGCTGCATCGACCACATATTCACCATCCGTCAGGTTTTAGAACGTGGGCATGCTTATCGGCGTCCGACAGTGAAAGTTGTTCTTGACTTAAAAGCAGCATTGACCCTGTACACCGATAGGTTCTGTGGCAGTGTCTGTCATTGAAAGATATACCTCAGAAGTACATAAACCTTGTGAAGGCCTCTACTCAAACACTACCAGTCAAGTAATCGCTTATGGCGGACTGTCATCTGATTTTGCAACCTCAAGTGGTGTCCGATAGGGCTGTCCACTATCTACATTTTTGTTCAACTTCATCATGGACATACTGATGGGAATAACGCTGTCGTCGACTGAATTTTCGGGGATTGATCTACTCGGAGGTCCACATATCGATCTAGATGACGCTGATAAAATGCAGAGTCCTGGTAGCACTGAGCAACAATGTGTTAGGTCCCAATAGGCATAATGAATGGTAACTTTTGGGACCCATTTATGCGTACATTTCTATCGTATAATTGTTAATTAACTTAACTGTTCATATTCATGTCCCTCTTATTATGAGCTTTATTTTGACCTACGAACTATTATTATACGATCTACCACTCTTGAATTTTGCCCTGTCTATTAGTTACTACCTCCCTCATTCACAGCCACATTTGGCCAAATCTTGTTGCCTATTATATGGTGCGATGTGGTCTGTTTGGTTGGTATATAAACCCCGTATATTTAAAATAAATGATTCATATCGCACAGGCTGAGATTGGTGTTGTGGACTTAACTGGCTGGGCTAGACAGGAAGCAGGACCAATAAGGACTCTAGACTGCTCGTACGTGTTTTACGCGTCATTGGTCCTATCGATAATTCACTGCTAATTGGTGGTATCGTTACGTTATACATCAGCAGGTCAAATAGGCCACACGTTATAACAAAATGCCAGAATGTTTGGGATGCGCTTCTCCCTCTTCGTTGTTGCTTCAGGACTGGTCTGCGCCAATACCTGAACTAAGGATAGGATAGTCGATAACTTCACTTATCTTGGAAGTCTGATCAGCCCTAAAGGGTTGGTGTCTGAAAACATCTCAGCACGGATTGGAAAAGATCGTTTGGCTTTTGCCAACTTAAGTCACCTATGGCAAAGGCAATATGTCCGTCTATCAATTAAGGGACGAGTGAACTGCGAGACAGTTCGTTCTGTTCTACTTTACGGCTGCGAAACGTGGGCACTAAGAGTAAAAAATACTCATAAGTTACTAGTATTTGACCACAGAAATATTGCTCGCATCTGCTGGGATCACTGGGTAAGTAATAGTAAGGTTAGACGCAGAGTATATGGGAATGATTTTAAATTAGTTGATGAGGTTGTAAATCTTCATCGACTAAGACGGTTGAGCCACATGTTGCGTATGCCTGGACACCGATTACCACGACGCGCAAAGCTAACCGGTGTTAGGGATTATTGGACGAAAGTTAGGGGCGGCCGAACCAAAACGTGGCATCAGTGCTTGAAGTCACTAACTTCTGGTCTGGGCCATGTTGGTAGATGCAGACTGCATGGTTGGGGTCCGCGTGACTATCGTAACTAATGGTTGGAGACTCTTGGTGACATGGCTCAGAATCGATCACAATGGCGTCGCTGTATCTACTCTTAGTCTTTCCCTAAACGTTGAGATTAAAATTACTTTATACCTTTCTTTCTACGAACTAATTCTCTCCTTGTATGAAATCTTTTTCATTACCACTGAAGTAACTGCTTCAATGAATTTGATGTTCATCCTGTTGTGCTAATGAGGTATGTGAACTTGGACCGATGCATATATGTGCCTGGTCCTGCGTCGTAAATGATTGAATGAAATACTTAGTGAATGGCAGCAGATCCATTAATAGCCTTTCGGACCCATTCGTTCAGTCAGTCAACTAACTGCTTACTTAAATAAATAAACTACTTCGTGAATTAATTGAGCAGTTCACTGGCCTTGTTTGAATGGTGTACGAATCTTCAGATTGTTTGACAGTCCTTTCCTGACATTTATTATGTGCCGGTAAATTTGACAATCACCTCTTAAACATCCATGAATCAGGCTATAAGCTAGTTGCTCAGATGTGAACTTTAAATTTGAAATCGTTTGGTTGAAACTCGAGTGTCTAAACTAATCGGACGACCACCATTTATAAATGTGTGTATGGATGTTGGTTCAGTCATTTCAACTAAGTGATTTCGTGGCGTTAATTGTATTGGAAAAGTAAGCAAATGTCCACAAGTTATATTATACAGCTTTTTTATTTATAATGTCTTTTGCCTATAATTATGCGGTTATACTCAAGTTATCGTTTCATTAAAAGATGAACAAACTAATTTTACAGTCTTCCCAAACCCTTTAACAAGGGTAGTGTTAGTACATCATTACAAATGATTGTTCAGAAAATTTGTCGTGTCTAAGGACTGCAATTATGTGTATTCTAGACGAATTATTCGGTAGTTATCAATTGGTTTTGTGATAATAAAAGAACTTTTTGTCATTAACTAGTTAGTTAGTGTTGTAACAAATAATGTAAAAGGGAATGTGATAAGTGAGATCAATCAATTTAGTCTTGCAAATCAACTATTATGGAATATACGATGCCTTGATAAGGAAATTGCGTTTCTGTTAAAAATATTTTTTTTTACAACAAAAATATTTTCACTTTACAAATTAATTGAGTATAGGATCTTTTAGACGTGTAGGCCAGTCAAGTTCAACACCAATTACATCCAACGCTAATATATCTAATTGACGACCAAATATACTTGCTAAGCTAGGATTACATCGACCAAGATCTCCATGAACAAGTTCTTTCACATAGGTGCCAGCTTCACAACGAATTTCTAATATGAACAGTTCATCTTCTGGATAAAGCTTTGACCATGATTTAAAATCATTGAACTAAACATGTAAATGTACAATATATCGTGAAACAAACAAATATTTGTCTGGAACATTAAGTTAGAAAAGAAGCTTATACTTTTAAATAAATAATATATTTGTGATATCCTAATGAGTAGAAAATTAGATTTTCTGACGTTTCGTGGCTTAGTGTAAGTCACTTCTTCAGAGAATAAATAAAAAAAAGAAGTGACGAAACGTCAGAAAGTCTAATTTCCTACTCATTGGGATATTACAAATATATTATTTATTTATAACAATCAACCCAATGCTCAATTTCTTGAAATTATACTTTTAAAGTTTATTTTTAGATAGAATCAGAAATTATTAATAGACATTTTGCTTGTAAAATCATAAAATCTACTCTTAATTGGTAATATTTAATGATAAAGTGCGATTGTGCAGATTGTTTTTTTTTACCCGGGTTGAGAATTTATAATTTCTCTCACAACTAGAATTGTGTTGGGGATGTTAGATCCCCAGAACTCACTTGGTAAATACCTTATTTTTGTAATTTTATTTTAAAAATCTGAATTTCTTGTTTTCGCTCCAAAAGCTCTCATTTTCACCTTCATGTCGTATTTCCCACTTGGGAGAATCTTAAACGATATTAGTTCGTTGTATCTTTTAGTATGCTATTTTGTAACGCTTCCCAAGGATAGTTTTATGCTGTACATATACGTTTGATTTGTGTCTGTTGTTATTGCTTGTGCTTCTGGCTGCTTGTGGAATATATTTTCCCGTTTCGAACTTGGACGTCTCCCCCTAGTTAGCGGGGCTGGGACTCATCGGAATAGCTAGCTTATTGGTCTTTTGTCACAAATTCTTTGCTCCGTTCTCAGACTAGGTGAACTCGTAATCGCTTCAAACATAACAAATTGTGTATTGTTTTGCAGTTCATGAAGCTTATGTGTGATATTCATCTATTTGATTATGCTCATAGACCGATTCTGATCATACCTGTACAGGTATAACAGAATATTTAATATTCAGACATAAAAGAAACGTAAGATTATGATATTATTCAATTATATTCAACATTAAAAATTCAGGGGCTAGATAGTTATGTTTTTCAGTAGCCCAGTTTAAATATGAGTTGATGAGTTATATTTCGGTTCAACAAGAGAACAAGATGTACCACGAAATCAATTCAACTGAAGATGTAATATCTAAGTCCAATTATTTATTTTGATGAGCTGATTTCACAAATATGTATCCGAACTAATGGTAAAGTAATTGACAGAAATATATGTTAATAACTTATTTAAAATATTGGAAAAACTAGTCGTACGAAGAAATCACTAGGTTCCTATTAAAAATCCTTAGAAAGCACTTATGTAAACATTAAATTGACATAAACTATAAATATCTTATAAGTGGTACAGTTAAAATCACTCAGAAAATACTAGTCACGGCAATACTCATAGTTTGCTGTGTTTATTCAACTTTTCACTGATTCCATTTGCGATAGTAACTTATGAAGTCAGACAATGTACACTTTTTACTATCTCCTTACTTGTACAAATACTAAAAAAATAGACCGTTTCAATAAAGAAGGAATTAGTTAGCTTGTTATCCATTAATGATTATCTCAAGTAACTTTTATTCAAGTAAGTTGAAAAAAATTTTTAAAGCAGTGGGTATTTAATTCATCCGCTTAATAGTGAGTGAGTCAGTATGTAGTCTAAGTTATTTAAAAGCAAATGGTTTAGAGGGTTTTTTAATATATGAAAAAATATTTAATCAATGGTTCAACCTTGATTTAAAAAAAGCGTTTTGCAAAAGTCGTCAACAGAACTGAGATTTGATTAAAGTACTTAGTACATAAAACAGTAATACTTTTGTGCTAATTGATAAGTCTTGCTATTGAACGCTAGATTTGGTTCCTAAGCTCTTCTAGTAACCCCCAGGTTAGAACTACACAGTCACTTGAACACGAGAGAAAAGGCGCGAAATATGTAAAAGACACTACAGAAAATCTAGGATTTTTATAGTATTTTCGATGTCCCTGGGCTCCCCGAAAATTCTAGAATGCTACTAAATATAGTAGTGGTATAAGTAATCATCCAATCAGAAACTCGACATGTGACTTTTCACTTTCTAGATGTTTCTGGCAAAACTTCTCGTGAACGCTGATTGGATAAGATGCTTCTCGATGTTTTCGGAGCCTATATGTATACTAATATAAACAAAAAGACAATATCAATCAATAAAGTAATTGTACCTCGAAAATATTAGCTCCTATTGTTTCCACATACGACATGAAACATAAATGATAAATGGTCCTTTTACGATTTAACAATGGTCTTCTATGCAATACACGTATAGGTGTAAGTTGATTAATATCCAGTGGACCAAAATAAATTTTTCCATATTTCATAGAATCTGTTTTATTAGGAGGCCAATGAATGATGTTTACATGATCAAGATTTCCATTTGTTCGATTTAACAAAGTGGTATACTGTAACATTTTCATAAGTAATTCAGTTTTAATTCCACCTTGAGGACACCAACAAACAGCTCGATAACATTTGGCCTTGTGCATTTCACCTAATTTTAATGCGGCTGTAGCAGATTTTGATGAGACTAACTAAAGTAAATGTAAATTAACAGAAACGATTATATTTTGAAACAAGTACGAATTGTTTGCAAACCTATTTACGTAGAAACCTAAAATGACACGAAATATTTACTATTCAATAATATCAACTAGGTCAAAACAACTTCGACAGTGTAAAATAAATCCACACGTTACCTAAGGTCATTTATCAAACTAAAATGATCATAACTGATAAGTTAAAAACAAGGGAACACTAGATAAGATTTCCGTCTTCATCTGGGACTTCTCAACCTCGCGATGTGTCGAGTCCACGACTTGAAGATCTCGCAGCGACCACGATCCTTTAAAACTATGGACTGGGGACCCGATAGTTTGTTTCCTGCTTCAGAAAGCTCCTGATATTCTGCGATCATGGCATCTAATATCAAGTCGCAGTTGTGCGTTGATAAAGAAAAAAAGTCTTTCCAATACTTTTTAGCTTCAGGTGAAGTGAAATATCGTCACTGTGAAGAACAATGGTTGTGATATCATTAGGTATCTTGTTAGTTCAAAAATCTTTTAGGAGAAAAACTCCCATAGATTGAAAAGTGTATTTTCTACAAAAGTGATTAAATTCAACCGGAGTTGATGAAAAGTCGGATTAGCTCTGTAAAATGAGGTATTCTACAGCAGACCTCGAGTAATCATACTATACACTTTCGTCTTATATATTCCATACATTGATATTATATGTCCGACAAGGAGAATTTTTTGTGCTTATATGCTACTATAATTAATTCTGTCATGCGACAGACGTTTGATGAAACGAAATTTAGGCCAAAAGAGATAAACAACTTTAGATTTTTGTACTGTTGATCCGCTCATTGTTTATGTGTATTGAAGTAATGTTTATTAGCCCAATATGTTCAGAGAAATGATGCGTTCATTATCGACTCGGGTTCCTTTCATCACCGGTATTCATATTGACTAACAGGAATATTCAGAAACTATCAAAAACCTACAACCAGACGTGTAGAACAGGTAGAAATTAATCGAATTGGTTTAATCTGTTTTGTGGCAATCTTGATTATTTTTAGATAATCCCTAATAAAATAATCTGGATGCAAATGTTAATATTTATGTGCAGTAATTAACCTTGCTTTAAATATTAAACGCTAATCACCAATCTTACATTACACTGTCTAAAAAACCAATCCTGACCAAATACCACTTTTTAATTTGACTCTAAATCTTCGCTATCGCAAAACCTTCAAAGTCGCAAGTTTGTTATTTTATTTATTGATATGCCTATTAGATAAATGCCTGACACTAACTTCAAATCGTTTTTCAGTTCGCCAGAATCTCCAATGCTTCAACAACGAACGGAAGACAAAAGGTTAGAAGTATGAAAAGAATTCTTTGGGAATTGCCTATTGAACGCTGATTGAAGGAAGTATTTCCAGTCTTTCCCCAGCTTTCAGATACTTGCAAGGGCTTCTGACGGTTGTTGTGGTTTTTTTCACAATTTAATCAGACAAATGTCAGATTTTTGTTTTAATATCAATGAAACAAAATTGTGTAGCAATGTCGAAAAAGATTATTATGGACAGGGAGTTTCATTATCTAATAAGCAGAAAAGCACATTTTTCTCTCTACCAACCTGTAAATCTCGTATAAACACTCGACCCTGAGTTGTCGAATTGACAAACGATGCAAGTTTCAATAAATCCAATGGTTCATCTTCATTATATTCTACGGCAAGTTTATCATTAACAGACCATTGTTGAATAATTTGTGACGGTAATAATTCATAGTTGCTAATTTCAATTGCGAATGGTCGACCCAATCCAAGACATCTAAAAGTTGATAAATAAATAAACATATTTGGAGGATTTGATTAATTTTAGTAGATAATCACTAACGCGACAAACTACTGTAAACGATTGATTCATGCAGAGTCTATATAGTCAATTTGAACGGAGCTGTCGACTGTTTTAACTAGGTAATTGTTTGACTACGCTGGAAGGTGCTTGAGTGTATGGAAAAGTAAAATTCCTAGAACATTTGCTGATGTAAATTGGTTCACAGAAATAGTTGAATTGATAGAGTTGGCTAGTCGATGTCACCATTAGACGTGTAGAAAATATTGGCTGTAGTTTGCCTGAGTTGAACGTTTTGCTCAACCTCAGAGTTAACATTCACCAGTCTGGAGAACAACGATTAGCCTTTAGACCAGAACCGGAATCTAACAGTGTACATGTCTACCTTCAATCAACTCACGATACTGCATAACCACTGTCAAATGTTATTGATGGGTACAACTGCCTCAAGCACGAGATGGTTAAATTCCACTGCTCACGACTTCTCACTATAACTCAATGAATCACTTGTTAGACCCAGCAGAATCGTGAATGAATGCTGTTGAGTAGTCCCAAGTTAGAACAAAACAGCTGTTCAATGCTTCCTGCTTTTCAATGGTTGTGTCATTAAGGTCATCCCTTGATGTAAACTATGAAATAATTAACATATAAAATTTCAAAGATGGGTAAAAATGGAAAATTACCTAACATCCACATCTTCTCTACCAGCTGTAATAAAACAACTTTGAGAATTTGCACCAAATCGAGGTAATATTAATTGAGTGATAAGTTCTTCAACAGATGAATCTAATTTACGCTGTGATCCAATTATCCATGGGGATTGAGGCAAACGTCGACTTAATTTTACATAACGACCAGCCAAATAAAGCGGTATACTTCGAAATATTTTCAAAGATGTTATGAATGCAAGCGAACAATTGCTTGAAGAAATTCTATGAATTCAAGAAAAATAGAATGTATAAGATTATTTAGATGGGATATATATATTCTGTAGGTAATTCCTTATCAAATAAACTAATACGTTACAAATTTGTAGGGGAAATTGGTCAGTTATTAGTTGATATTCAAAGGGAATTAATTTCTATGTACTTATAACAAAAAGATGAGACACGGTACAGAAATTGAAAACAAGGAGAATTCGATCAGGTAAACAATCGGAACAAGTACCAAAGTAGGTAAAAGTAAACACAACTTATCTGTATAAAGATTGCATAGAAAACGTATACAATGTATAAGGTCGACTAGTCATTAAGTTACATTTCTGTTTAGAAACATTGAAAAGAGATGATTGGTTGAGAAAAAAAGAATCTAATAACTTGTTTTAATAATCATTTTATCAGTGAGTCGATTCACACAGAGAGTATATTCTATTTGGATACAACGAATATAGTATCTTTATTTCAATGACTGTGTTGAATGTTGATTAAATTGAAATATTCTGCCTAAAGTTTATTATCACAAAAAATCGTATTCTATCTGAAGTATTCATATAACATAATGAACTATGCCCTCTCTTATAAATAATTAAATCGAAATTTTCAATAACCAACAACCAATTTAAACTACCAAACTGGATAAACTTTTATTTACGTAACATATGTGAAACTAGGTTTAATCAACAGTAACTATGAGATTTGTTAAACTGACAACTAATTGTTTTCCAATTCCAATAAACTGAAGACTAGTATTAGATTCGGATCAATCCTAAAGAAATATTAAGTAATTATGTTAGAGATGTTATCTTGAAAAAAGGTTTTCAGAGAATTGTTTTTTAACAAATAATTAAGCGTGTGCGTGAGAGAACGAGGGTTTTGAATTCGAGACTCGTGTGCGGGATCATGGATGCGTACTGCTGAGGAGTCCTATACTAGAACGAAATTGCCGTCTGGTGCTTCCAGTTTTTTAATGCTGGTCTAGGTTAGATCGACTCACTAAGTCAACTACAATTTCTAAAAATTCCCATTCTGATAATTAATTATTAATAATTAATTTCGTATAATTTTGAACATGTCTTTCAGCCAAATCACTTTATGTACTCTTGTTATTGGATAGTTGATGTTTTGAAATACTCACTTGTCGATATATTTTTACGGACAATTTGAACATGTTCAAACAAAATCATTTCTTTCTTGGTGGATTTAATAAATATCCCAGTCAGTAATAAACAATATACAACATAACAAAAAGATGCACATTAGCCAACATTATATTAAGATGAAATTATTTAAATGAACATCAGAGTAATAAAAGCAGTAATACCAGGGATGGAAGACGAAATTAGATTACTATTCGAATACAATTCGAAAGGAAATAATGGATTTGTGTGATAAAAAATAAGACAATTTTGAAACTCGGGATTTAAGGGTGAATAAGGAATAAATGAATCTACGTCACAGTGACGGATCCTAAACCATATCACTTAAAATAAATCATCCAGATAAGACTGGATATCATCCTCTCGACTGACTGTAGTTACATCAAGAGAAGAGCCTATATTCGTAAATTTTTGATGACAGTTCAGGCTATTAATATTTAGCCATCTTCATCAAACCTTAGCCCCCAAATGCTCTGGTACGGCCGTGTATACAGCCACTACCAGGGAAATCCAACTCACTAACTTATCGCGGTGTGGGTGTTGTTTACAAAATTGAGAGAGTGGAAAGCGGATATCCGGCACTTTAACCGGGTTGATAGATACGGAGGACCTACATAGAGGTGTTGAAAAACCCTGATTCGAAATCAATGGTGCACACTGGCTCTACGATCCTGAGTGAATAAATGGCGTATGAACTTATTGTTAGTCACCGGCTACCATAGGATCGCATCTTCTGATGTTACTCCACTGTTTAATGCATTAGACCTCTAGGTCAAAAGATCGGGCAGTGGCCTTCTAAGAAGATTACGTTCTTCGGTTTGGACTCCCGAGCAGTATCCCAGCCCTCACACAAATTGAATGATGAAGTATATATATATATATATATATATATATATATATATATATATATATATATATATATATATATATATATATATATATATTCGGTGCCACCTTGTACCAATAGTTATGTGTTTAAATAAATAGCAAATGAATATTTAAAAAAATAGTGAAGTTTCTGAAAATTAACAAAATGATACTTACTTTCTTAAATAATTTGATTGAAAACAAATATCTTTTAACAAAGGAATAAGTTCTGTTAAAAGTCCTCGAGAAAAATGTAATGAATTTGGCAAAGTATAACCAATATTAATCACAGATGAAGGATTGAAAACCAATGAATTTACATCATAAGTTAATATTTGAGAAGAAAGTGTTTTTGTTGTTAATTCTTGGATGATATTTTCATTTTCTAATAATTCTTTTTTTGAAAGATTCATCTTGAATTCTTTTCCACAATAGAATCTTGAACGTTTACGTGGTACTTTAACACTTTTTAAACGTATAAGCCAAGAACGTATAGAATTTAATGATGAACGTTCTAAATAACTTAGAATTTCATTATAATCTGATTGTATTAAGAAATTTGAAAATTCTACATTTAAACAAATAATATTGGATTCTTGATCCCAGTTTGAATTGTTAATATTTAATTCACTGGTTTTAATTCGTTTTAATTCTGTATCATCGCGTAATGAGTAAATCAATGGAACCTTTATATGTGATATAGAAACAAGACTATTATATTACATATATTACATTATAAGGTATGACTTTTGAGCATTTATTGAATAGTATAATAATACTAGAAATGGCATGATTAGTTCTAGGAGATAAGATATAAGCACAGTATCAAAGTAGTTGAATCATTTTGAAATGCGCATATTTTGCTAGGTTTGAAGTTATCACGAGTTCACTTAATCTACGAACGAGAACAAAGACTTGGTGACCAAAGACCAGTAAGCTAGCTATTTGATGCGTCCCAGCTCCGCTAACTAGAGGAAGAAGTCCAAGCTTGGAACGGGGAAGTATATTGTGCAAACAGCCAGAAACGAGCGATAACAACAAACACAATTCAAAACGTATATATACAGTACAAAACCGTCCTTGTACAGAGTTACCAAATAGCATACTAAAAGACTCAACGGACCAATAGCATTTCAGATATTTCCCAGTGGGAAATACGACATGAAGGTGACAAGAGCGCTTTTGGCGCGAAAACAAAGGAATTCAAATTTTCTAAATAAAATTACAAAATTAGGTCCTTTCCCAAGTGAGTTCTGGGGATCTAACGTCCCCAACATGTTTAAATGTTAAATAGTTTTGAGATGATCGGTAGAAAGTTCTAGACATACAACATTAGATCACGTGATACAATCACCCAGTTATCCGACAGTTCGATAGAAAACAAGATGTAGACCAAAACACAAGTTTATTAATACAAAATATCGAGTAGTTAGTAAGTAGAACGAATTTTACTCCATAAAATAATTTTTTATATTTATAATGTAGCTAGATACGTCTGCTTTCAATAATTCAAAGATCGACAGTATCTCTGATCGGACGTATCAGTAGCTGTTAGAATTATTGATGATAAGCATATGTTATGATTTACTGAAAATACACTCCCATAATATTACGATGATGGAGAATATTTGTAACTTAAGATGAGAATTTTGAAGGTGTCTGGTTTTCTGAAATGGATGGACTAATTTTGAAACCGCACTGACTTTCCTGACATCCGAAATTGACTCGCAACTTGTTTTGTTGACCTAGACCTCAGGTTAGATGTGAAAACAATTAAGGCAAACAAACAAACAACAATCACACACATATATGGACAACAATTAATCAAAGTCCAAGTCAATCGAACAAGCTGGTAGTTAATTTTGGAGAAATTCCAATAACTGATTTCCCATTGAAGTTTATGCTGATGATGTTGTCGAGAAGGACAATAGTAGCTTTACGATCAAACAACGAACAAAACATCTTCAAAATCATATATAATTGTGAAAAAATTAAAAATACATAACATGACAAACTCACTTTCAGTAAAGATGATAACTTTTCTTCTACAATCCATTTCCATGCAGTTTTTACTGGAATAGCATAAGATCTCAATGCATTGATATCGTCTTTAGTGAATGTCATCTGTTGATCATTCAATTTCTCAATAGTACTACTATTCGAAGTATTGTTTACATGATTAATCGACAAACAAATTAATTCATCCCATAAAAATTGTTCACGTAGCATAATATTAATCGGTTCAGTGACCTTTTTAATCGAAGAAAGAAACAGGATAGTATGAATGAAACAACAAAACTTGGTTAGATACAATTATTAGTAGCAATATCAAGAATAATATGAGAACAATTTATTGAATATCATTTTGTTATAGATTTATTCATGACGATTACAATGATGATAAGAAACGAGGTGTAGAGATTTTGTGTGAAATGGTCGTAAGTCAACACTGCTGCAAAGTTCTGAACTGAGATGAAAAATATAATCAGTAATCTTGAATTCAAATGTTCCTTTAGCTAATGTCACAGCTCGTGTTGAAAACTAACCATTTATTTATTTATTTATTTGAGCACATAAATATTGGTACAAGGGGGTACCAAATATATATGCGCCACACAAAACAATGAGAATTTGAAGAGCAAGGAGGAAAAAAAGAGAGAGAACAATAATGAAGAAACGGAAGGTACAATCGGAAGAAATCTTTCAGTTAAGGAAGAGACAACCACTTTTTTATGAAGAAAGTAAAAGAAGGTTACAGCAGGATCGCCACTGGCTTCTATTCTTAGCCATATCTGATAACGTCTCTAGCCACTGCGTTACACCGTCTCTCGGACCCCAACCAGGGAGTCGTGAAGGACCAACAGAAGCTAGTCCTTTGCAGCTTTCTTTCATACCACGACACCATGTCATATACTGACCACCTCTCCGCTTTTTCCAACCAGTCCCAGAGTCGGCAAATAATGCACGACGAGGAATTCTCTGGGACGACATTCGTAGAACATGTCCAAGCCACCGAAGTCGGTGTTTCAAGATGGTGACACCAATTTCATTATCGTCTCTGTGACCGAACACTCGATGCCGAACCTCTGCATTACTGACATGGTGTTGCCACTGGATGCCAGCAATCCTTCGGAGACAGCGATGATCGAACACAGAGAGTCGTCTAACATCCTCAACTCGGAGAGGCCAGGTTTCACAAGCATAGAGCAAAACTGCTCTCACCGTCGCGTTGTAGATCCGACCTTTTACAGCCAGACTAACATCACGAAGGCGCCAAAGATGGCCCAGATTGGCATAAGCCGCTCTGGCTTTCACTATACGTGCATTGATCTCATCACTCACCCTACCACCAGCACTTATGCAGCTACCCAGATACACGAACTTCTCGACTACTTCTATCTGCTCACCATCCAGAGTGAGTACAGGATTAGAATCCTGCCAATCTTGTAGAAGTACTTTGCACTTCGCGGGTGCAAAGCACATACCATACCTACGGACACTGATTGCCAACTGATTAAGTGCGGATTGCATAGCTTGGGTATTCTCGCACAGTAAGACAATATCATCCGCATACTCAAGGTCGAGAAGTCTTTCTCCAGGCAACAAATTCACACAGCCATTACTTACATCCATCAGAGCTGTTTCCAGAATGTCATCGATGGCAAAGTTGAAGAGGAATGGTGAGATTGGGCAACCCTGCCTAACTCCACTGCTTGAATGGAACAATGGAGAAAAGTGGTTGTAGGCCCTCACTCTGCCTGAGGTGTTTGTGTATAATGCTTTCAGGATGTTAATAAACTTCTCAGGCACACTCTTCTTCAATAGACAATCCCAAAGAATAGTTCTGTCCAACGAATCGAAGGCAGCCGTGATATCAAGAAACACTACGATTGTTGGCCTTTGATAAGTATGGCGGTGTTCTAACATTTGGCGGAGGGTGAAGATATGATCAATACATCCTCGACCGGAACGAAACCCAGCCTGCTCCTCGCGAGTCAATCTTTCTCGGGTTTTGAACAACCTAAGAAGTATGACGGAAGCCAATAGCTTGGACGCGATCGGAAGTAGACTTATCCCCCGATATTTGTTACAGGAACGACGTGAACCCTTTTTAAAGATAGGGACCACTATCGATTCATTCCATGACGTCGGTACACTCTCTAGTTCCCAGACCTTTGTAAACAACGTCGTCAGTCCCTTGGTCAGAAAGTCACCACCATCTTTAAAAAGAGCCCCCGAATGCCCTGGTATGGCCGAGAGTGAGGTAGGTTCGCCCTCCCTCTCGAAATACTCTCACACGGCCACGCGTATACAGCCTCTGCCAGAGAAGTCCTACTCACTGCCTTCTCGTGGCGGGGGTGTTGGTTACGAAAATGAGAGGACGAAAAGCGAATGTCCGGCGCTATAACTGGATCCCAAATCAATGGTGCACATGGGCTCCAGTATCCTGAAGGAACAAACGGCGTATGAACCAATTTTTGGTCACCGGCTTCCATGGGACTGCATCTCCTCACGATGCTCCACTGCCTTGTGGACTAGACCTCTAGGTCGAAGGCTCGGGGTGTGGCCCCCTAAGAAAACCACCTCGATTTGGGCACCCGGGCAGTATCCCAGCCTACGCACTAAAACATGATGAACTATTTACTTATGGAAAACTAACCATAAACTATGATGTTGACACCGAAATGTTTCATATGTGCAGTATATTGAAATAATTAGTCAAAACAACTGAAAATCACAAATATTGCGTCTGTATCCTACATATAATATAAACCTTCTGAGAAACTTCCAACTCAACACCTGATTTACGATGGGAGTATCGAGACCGAAATCATGGTACTATTATAGAAAACAATATGAATTCAGGACGATCAAATCACAAGATGTCAATTACACTATGAAAGGAATAGCTACGAAAAAGTGCTTATTTCGTGGAAGCGCATAAGGATACATTTGTAACAAGCATTACACTCAGACAACAATATATGGCCCCCAAATGCCCTGCAATGAAATGTGGGGTCCGAGAGATGGTGTAACACAGTGGCTAGAGACGTTATCAGATATGGCTCAGAATAGAAGCCAGTGGCAATCCTGCTGTAACCTTCTATTACTTTCTTCGTAAAGAGTGGTTGTCTCTTCCTTAACTGAAAGATTTCTTCTGATTGTACCTTTTCGTTTCCTCCATTTTTGTTCTTTTCTTTTATATATATTCCCTACGTTCCTTACCTTTTTTCCTTTCTCTTTAAATTCTCATTGTTTTGTGTGGCGCATATACATTTGGTGCCCCCTTGTACCAATATTTATGTGTTTAAATAAATAAATAAACAAAACAACAATATATGGCTGCGTCAAACGAAAATGGCACAAGTACTGTTTCGAAAGTAGGTAGGCCATTTCAAAATAGACAATTTTTCGATTGAAATATAAACAATGAACAAATAAATACCACTACTAGCGGGGAAACAAACTAAAACATTAAAATAAGAGTACAAATGGACCGGATTAGTATTTTGTTACGACAAAAAGTCATATAGCAGGTAAGTCATAAAAATTATGAAATATAGACTACTGAATATGACTAAGTAGTATAATGTAACAGATATAATGGTCAGTCGATGGGATTAAGTAGATACGAGACTGGTTTAAGGAACGTGAACTACCATTTGGAGCAATAGACTCCACTTGTATATCTGTTTCAAACATAAATAACAAAACACACAATTGTATTCAGTTTTTCTTGTCTAAACAATGACGAACAATCAAGGAGAATTTCCATAGCATCGCTCGAGTTCCATTGCACTAGAATCTTAGCGGTATATATTAAGCGACATGGAATGATTGTGGTCCAGACCACACAAAATTGAATAAGTGTAAGAACCAGTTCTATCAAGGTCCCAGATACGCTTAACTGAAAAGTGACAACTACGAAGAATTTTCTATCGGTTGTCTTCAACTAACTGAGACCAAGTCTTAATATATATATATATCGATTGTGCTTAGCAGCGGAATCCAGAACAGGTATTTCGCTCTACCTGTGACCAAGAACTGACTTTATTTAGTGGTTTCATATCCACTGTTTATTGCTTCATAACACAAGGGAAAAAAAGTAAAAACAGTGAACATTATTTACTCACGTACCCGAAGTTGATATGCTGTATATTGATAATGGGATCCATTTAACTCTTTATATAAATAGAGTAAAATATATTTATCAAATTCTTCACTGGTAAATTCCATCTCATTTTGTGATTCATTAAGATTTTGTGGAATATCACATAAATAAGGATTATGCAACAGGCCAAAACAAAGTTTACATATAAACTTATCAGGATATGCTTGTGAATGAAAGACATTGAGTAAATCTATTTGTTGACAGCGACCATTAGTTAACCGGATGATACAACATTTACAAATATCGAAATCAAGCATACATTCCCGAATACAGGAAATGGCTTCAACTGGCATTGTCTATATGAAAAATTCTAAAAATGAATGAAAAGGTTTTAGTTTTATATTGTGCACATGTGAGTGAATAAGCACAGGCGTGTACAGTAAATGTGAAACGATTCACTTTATTTGTGTGCTAGATAAAATAAGATTAAATTATTACTCTTTTTGTGAAATACATAATATATGAGAATGATAGATGTTACCTAATCGAACAAAGCAAAATAACTGTAACATAGTCAGTCATCATCAACGTAAAGCCTGACATAATTTGCCACATTATATTGGCACGACGAGATCAAAATAGCAAGATGGATGACAACACAGATGGAAATAATGTAATAGCAATGATAATCATAACGACTAAACATCTGGTTCAGAATAGTTGAATGAAAAGATAAATATAAAGGAGTACTGGAATTCGAAATTGAGAGGCAGATAAGTAGTGAATGGACCTGCAACATTGTGAAAAATTCTGAAACATGTCACCTAAATGATAAGTCTTGCTAATTGAACGCTATATCCGGTTCCTAAGCTATTCTCGTAACCCCCAAGCTAGAACTACACAGCGACTTGAACACGAAAGAAAAATCCCAAAATATGCGAGAAGTACTTCACCCCGAAGATTCGTTCTAGTACAGAAAATATAGGGTTTTTATAGTATTTTAGATGTCCTTGGGTTTACCGAAAATTATGGAATGCTACTAAACATAGTAGTAGTATACTTATCAGCCAATCAGAAACTCTACATGTGACTTTTCATTTTGTTGATGTTTCTGGTTAAGCTTCTAATGAACGCTGATTGGATAAAATGCTTCTTAGTGTTTCCTGAGCCTTTCTTGGCTTTTGCAAGAAGTTTTTTGGATCACCCCAACATCAAAGATTTCCATCACTGGTCAGGTAGTCTATGTTAGGATGGATCAGACCGACAGTTAATGACTTCATGTAACATATCTAGAACTCACAAATCAATAGGTAAAAGCCAAGTAGATTAACCATCATACTGTAGCAATATATTGACAATCAGGTATGTAGCACCAAACTTGTTTTATAATTAAAGCAATTAAAACAGGCCTGTGTATATCAGAAAATGATTGTCATCACCTTTAAAGGTTGGTTTCAATAAAATCTTTCAATTCAATCATGCACTTTCATTTGAAGGAGGAAGGTTAGAAACTTTTATACACTTCTATATCTATATGAAGCTCACTGGATTCAAGTAACCTTAATTTAACAGAAATAATGATATATATATATATATATATATATATATATATATATATATATATATATATATATATATATAAAGGTGGGATCATTATGGGAATTTAGAAACACGACGGGACAAAAATAATATAGAAAAATATTACAACGAATAGATACAATTGAAACTATACGATTGGATAAAATTTGTTTCTCGTTAACATAAAAACTGATTTGAAGATTCTGAAAAAAAATACACCTTAATTTTCTTATTATCAAAGTATTAAAATACAGTGCCTAATGAGTGTTGTTGAAAAAAAATGTATCACATTAGTTGATTAGAGAAAACTATTTAGGACAAAAATATACAGAGAACAATGAACATTTAGCGTTAATTAGACGATGATAATAATAATAATATAAAGTAAATCATCAAAGTTTTAGAAACAAATAAATAACAGGGCTTTAGACCTTACAACACCACTATAAAAAAGACTAAAGTATGTGAACTAACATACTGAATGGCTGAAAGTTAAAAACAGTGAGACAAAAAATGATGCACAAAGAAACATTGACTAAGTTTAAGTAATAGATAAACTTCGACGTAAATGTTGTTACAAAGATATGATTGTGATGACGACATATGCCATTATTTAAATATTCAGGTTATTAACAAAAGTAAAATTTATTATGATTGCGATTTTAATCAAGATTACTTGGTAGATTTGCCATTCAGAATTCTGTTTATAATTTCCCTACCACTGTGTAAATTAATCCGTCTCTTTTTATCATTTTCAGCTTAGACCGGTTACATGCTTTGAATGGTGCGGTTTAGAGTGACCCCAACTCCTATTAATCCTGATCGTATACCCTTCTTCTGCTCCCAATCTTTAGTCCGATAGTAAAATATAGCAGTCAAGCTTCTATTGTATGTTTCAGTCAACCGATACGTCTAACTTAATCTCAAACGTGCAGATAAATATACTTCTTTATCGTCGTAAATATCGACTCTCGTTTTACAGAACTATCTCAAGATTAGTAGTCTTTTTGTATCAAACTACTATATCTTCAGATAATTTTCTTCTCGAAGCACTTGATGTTGTTTAGCAGAACAATGAAAGGTTCACAATCAAACTATCCAGCTTAAACACTACAACACTTCTAATTTTCATCATTAACTAACTTCGGTTAAATAAGTACCAAAAGATCAAAGAGTACTGGACAGCTGTATAGTACTGGTTTAGGTCTTTAAAAGACTGGGAACTAGAAGATTATATTTTTAACTATACTTACCTGATATCAGTTTTTGATGAAACTTATCAGCGAATTGGATAACCATCCACAAATTAGCTAAGTAGCTTAAAGCAGAATATATATAAAAAAACCTTTTAATGATAATCACATAATACAACGAATATTATATAAGTATAGAATTAAAACAACTAAACATTAAGTTGAATTAAGTCTCGTACTTTTATCAATCTTTCTAAAAATTATTGTCAAGCTATGTGTATAATGTTATATTCAAAAGCTTTATTTTGATAGCCTATACAAAACTGAATTCTTATTAGTGAATTACGGGTTCATATATTTGACCTAGATAATCAGATGATAAATGTGGTTTGAAAATCAATTGTTTATTCAAATATCAAGAATTCGAGAATGGAAGTACTAATTATATTGTTCCATCAAAAGAAGTTATCTATTTACAGCACCCAGTAATGTGTTACACGAAATGAAAATATTGTGAAAACATAAGAGAAATCATTAGTAAAAATCAACACTAATAAGTAGTAAGAGATGTAATTCGAACAAGAACACAACTAGCATATATTTCACTAAGTTAGAAGGTGGGTATTACAGTATATGAAAAATATGGTCGAAAACTATAGCACAATAGCTATTAGCATTTATTTCGAATCATACCTGTTAACCATTTAATTTATTGAGTTGCGCTGTCTTCAGGACTCCAGTCATGGATTTACGACGGATAATTGAAAGCTATATTTTTTATTCACAAGCTGTCGTAAATTAACTAACTCTCTGAGCGTCAGGGAAATAATATAGAGTAGGATGATATTTTCATCAAATAGGTCTGTTAAGGATGCTAAATTACTATATACATTAAGAAAGAAGTCAGTTTTTGGATTTACGTATTGATTAAAAGTCTGCTTAGTATGACTCAAGGCATTCTAATTACATTAAATCCTTCTGTAAGAAGTTAGTTTATTGAATTTTACGTTTCACTCTATTAATTAACTTTTTTATCTTACCATACAAGTCATAACTGCTTAGTTGACAATCGTTAAAATTAATTGATATATTATTGAATCAAAGTGAATATAAATTCAGTTTTGCTGTTTCTTGTGGTACATTTTTCTTAATAAGATTTGTATTTAGAGTATCTAGGGTTAGAACAGAATAGAAGTGTTGTGTAAGAGTATTGATGTTGTGGTTACAGTTACTGACAACTATTAAATAGCACTTGAGATTGAAATGTGTCTTAAATTGTACTTCCAGAGTATATCAGTGTTTAGAAACAACTATAGGTGTTAAAGTTAACTGGTTTTTTATTCGCGAGCAATAATAATAATAATATTATACTCCAGGATCTAAGCTACTACGTCTGACAAATGATTCATATTAGTAGCGCGTTAAAAGCACGGAACCACAAACTTTTACACGATTGGATGGTCGCCAAAAACACCTTAAGTGTTTATCAATTCTTTCATCAATGAAAGCTAGTAATATTATTACATGATTCATTGTCCTCTTCCCATACATTTAGCATATTTCGTCACCATAGTCTTTGACACCATAGTTACGTAACAACTCTGTTTATAAGATAAACATATGTAAAGTGTTAATAACTCGCCTGCAGTATTTTCATTGTTGTTCACATAACTAAGTCATTAAAGGAACTTTAATTTAGTTTCTAATAGTTTGAGCTATCACGTTGTTGATATTTTGACTGATATCAAATCAGTCTTGATTGAGATATGCGCACTCTGTGTGAATTACATCGATAAAAAAATTATGAAAAAAGTTTACACAGAACAAATGGAGTATAGGGAGCAGTGGAATGCTTAACACTCGTTTCGTCCTATTTGGGATCGTCAACTGAATGTACATACATCCCAGAGTTGATGTTCACTCCGGGACTCGAATCCATTATTGCTCATTTTAAATGTCAACACGCTATCTACATAGCTACTGATTCCAACAAGTTACTCACTTATACAACGAGTATGGATATTAATTTAACGCCGATGCAGGTGCATCTAGTTGACGAGTTAGAAACAGGACGAAACGAGTCTTGTATCCCACGACTAGCTATATTTCGTCTGTTCTATTGAAGGAACCGTTCTTGTGTAATGTAAAATCGTTCCATTATCACTCAACCTTTTTATACTACAAATATCTACAATAATACTTTCCAAGCTCTTTATCAGTTATATATAACAAAGGGCTGAATGAAGTGGCATATCAAATGCGTAACTTCATTATAATCAGTTTTAAATGACTAAATACTACATTCAACTGTATAATGAAGCCGATGAAAATTATGCCAGCTGAATAAAATATACTGCCGCTCTTAATAGTAAGTCTAGAGATTAAGCGTACGCGGGCGAGACCGAAGGCCCTGGGTTCGGATCTCACGAGCGGGATCGTGGATCAGCACCGCAGAGGAGTCTCACAACAGGACGAAACGGCTGCCCAGTGCTTCCAGGTTCTCAATGGTAGTCTAACATTAATCGGTTCATGATCTCAATCAGAAATTTAATAATCTCCACAACCCTATCCTGATAATCTCAATTTTTACAGAAGAGGAAGAGTAAAACTGGATTTTAGCAGTGATCCAAATAAAAAGCAATAAATAAACTAGTAAATTACCCTTTCCTTATGCTTCATAGTTAGTGGAAAAATTTATCTAATAATCACTTATGATACAAATCCATTGTGTTTACGTGAATCCCAATTGTTATACCGTTTGATAAGTACTTGCACGTTATTTTCTGGAAATCCACTCGTTGGATTCCCAATTGATTAAACTGATCCTTAACCTGGAAAATACAGAAGACAAAATCACTGAATTCTAGAGCTTCTGCCGTATCACTTTAAGGACTAACTAGCTTAGTCCGTTGAGCTATCGACGTCAATTACACGGACTGCGACTAAGTAGTCTACACCTAATAATATGACACAGTCCAGTTGTCAATGACTTCATGGACTGGTACCATGTTTTAATTTGGCCGCCTCTAGCTTACTTCCGATCCAATTCTAAACTAAACAACACCACTCAAGGTAGACAGTGAGCGGTCATACATGACACATGCCCTAATCAGCCTAGTTAGTGAACATTCACTAGCCAATCAATCGGTTTGCCATCTTTATTCATTACTCTATCCCTGACCTACGAATTACTTACTCGGTGGTCTCAAAATACACAAGCAATCCTTTGAAGACACATATGACCAAATACTAATAACTTACAAGTACCTTCTATTCTTAGTAACCATGTTTCATACCCATAAAGAGAGAGAACTGCTGCAAATTTAACTCGTCCTTCGGTTGGCAGATGGATATATTGCCTACGCCACAACGACACAAGTCGGGAAAAGTCAATCGAACCTTAGGAATCCGTGTCGAGATTTCGTCAAGAACCGGGCCATCAGGACTGGTGAAACTCTCAAGATGAGCGAAGCTGTGGGTACACTCGACTTCTTCATTCCGTGTCACTAATCCGGGTGCGGACAGAAACCAATCCTGAAGCAGTATTTTGAATTTGGAGGGAGAGAATAGCATCACAAATATGCTTAAACTGTTACTTAAGATGGTCTGAAGACTGCATATTTTCAGCATCTTTACCAAACAGAACTACATTACCTGCGTATTCTAAATAAACAAGCGTATCTCCTGACATATTGGTCCCTGAAAATCCAGACGATGAGAGCGCTATCTCTAACAGGATGTCTGTGACAAAAATAAGGACGGGGAAGTTGGACAACCCTGGAAAACGCCGCTGGAGGTTGATAATTCTGAAGACAGTTTGCAATGAGCTCTGATATGAATTCCATATTTTCCCGAAATAGTCTTATTAACAGCCGGGTTTTTAATACCTCTTTCGTTGATAAGTCTGAATAGTCGTCTGTTACTTACTGCTGTTGCATTTTCCATATATCATCTTCATCAAGAGAAAAGAAATTGGTATACAAATTATCGGACTCCTACAACGAAACGTCAAGGAAAAAGATATGTGTACATATTTCTCGTGAGCAGTTCCCCTAAGGAGATTTGAGCTAGATCTTAACTTTCTATCACCATCGGTTTGAAAACACGTGTCCATAAAATATACTCTATATTTATACAGTTTAAACAACGAATTTGACTCAACAAGTATAATTAATAATGTTAACATGAATCGTGACTAAGCGACAGTTTTTAATGTCCAAGCCAACTTCCCAAAATGAAAACAAAAACAAAACTAATAAATGAAGAACGGGGAAATCCAGATAATTCTTGGAAAAAAGGGTGATTTGCCATAAGAGCTGATAAGACCACCCAGACTCTTAAGCATAAGTATGGTTGGGTGTGTGATCCAGTAGTTGAAAGTCAACTCCTTACACTACAGTGACACCATATTACGCCACCCACAAATAAGCACTTAATTGAGAAACACATTTTATTTTGTAATACAATCATGCCGTGCAGGGAAGAGAAAAAAAACTATTTTGACAAAATATATATATTTATGATCAAATTTATACAGAAATATATAAGTAACTCTCTCGACCAGAAAGGTTAGGGCATACTTTAAGAAGGAAAAGTGAAATCATACATATACATGTAGGCAATGAATGCTTCAGTCCACCATAATAGATTTTAAAAAATGAAAGACAAATGGAGCAGTGGTGTTTTGATCTGCAAAATGATATCTGGAAGCAATCTAGTCAATATAAGTAGTCCAATTATTCACGCTATATTTATGTATACTAACACTCTCGGAGAGGTATGATAAAATGAAATATGTATACAAATTATCATAATGGGAAATCATAAAGAATCAGTTTTTCAACAAATACAGATTTTACATGATAAAATATATAGTCCAAATAAAAGCTTCGTTAGGTAAATAAAACAATAAATTTCCTGAATCAGTGGGTACTGGTTACATATATACACAAAACGATAATCAAGTCATAAATTTATACAAGGACTCATGAATATGCAAACATGTTATATAATGCACTAGAACTTTTATAAATGCACTATTAAAACGACGCTCTTTTGCTGTGTTTACTTGAGGTTTGGCACAATTTAGTAGCATGATTGAGGCTAGAGAGGCAAATATTTATGGAATTAGAGTCGGTGTAGTGATCTTTGAAAGAAGTATTAGGACGTTTTGGCTGTAGTCGCTCAAGATGTGGCATCGGCGTCCCCCACCAAGCTGAACATGCTTCTGTAAAAACAAACTGCAAATACATACACTGACTTCGTGTGGGAAATGAATATAGAAATGCTACTTCACGCAGACTATGAGATGGTTCTAAACATTCTCCATCGAGGTATAAATCTACAATTTGTCTGGTAGGATCAAGTTGATACTTGGACAGCAATAGATGATGGAGGTTAGCGACAGTTACTACAGCCGGACATAAAAGATATATTGAGTTAGAATACTGTTCATTAGAAAGAGGTGAAGGGGGTTGGGAACGACTAGATTCACTTTTTGAAGCTAATTTGAAACTTTCGTGACGTTTGCAAATTACCGATTCAGATATTTTTGAATATGACGGAAAACTTGTTAAATGTATTAGAGCCAAGCTCACAAATTCATCATCTGCTACTAGAAATGCGGCAGAAGTTGGCAAACGGTTGGAAACAAGCATTTGAGTTGCATGAGTTGAAGAAACAAGTCCGCATGGACTTTTAGAAAGCGAACGAGTTGCAAGAGCAGTTGGAAGGGGTGAAGAACAAAGATCTGTGGAAAGAAATTTATTAGAAACTACGCCGTTACTAAAGTTATATCTAGTTTGCGATAAAACAGTAAAAGAAAATCCGACACCATAAAATAGCTACATTGACCCAAATTCAAAAATAGACACGTAAAGACTAAGAGCGGCAATAAAATGAGAAAAGAACATTAGGTATTAGAGCAAAGACAAAATCAACATCTAAGGAAAGAGCGGATACAACTGTGCAAACAATTCAAGTTTTATAAAGAGTATTTATTAAATAAATTTCTACAAACCAAGCTAAACCCTTGGTGTGAGGGCTAGTGGTACTAAAAGGTTATTTAGACGAAGTAGGTGAGATGAAGTTATAAGTTGAGATGTATTGGTTGAAAGCCAAGTGCACCAAAAACTAAGCCACAACTCAACGAAAAATTCCTAGTTGATAGCTAATAAAAATAGAATATTTAACAATAGATATCCACCTAGATTTATTGAGGAAAATCTGAGACCAATGCCACGTGTCGATAGCACCAAAGAAGAAGACTCTATGAACATTCAGTTTGAGATACTGAGGCAGAAATTCTGAAAGCATACTTCCGATACTTCTGAGAACAACATTCTATTCGAATAAACTTCGTATTTTATTTACTAGTCGACCTGCGGTTCGTAGTTGCGTGGAAGATACGCTTCCACTTTACGTCAAATTAATGTGTCTATCAGTTTACTTGCTCATGTGAAGCAGGTTATATTGGCCGCACAAAGCGAGCTCATTCGAAGCGCACCTCTGAGCATTATTCTAACTAGCTTTCTAAAAGACTACAGAAGTCAGTCGAAAGCTCAATCCTGAGACATCTAATTAATTCTAATCACTTTGGTTTACCAGATGCTTCCCTTAAAATCATTCATACAGTTGAGAGAATCGACTAAAGATGAATGCAAATTAAAAATTTATGCACAGTGGAGGCTATAGCTGTCCACCAGTTGAAGTCCAACCTTTGTGTACAAAAGCAGTATGCCCAGCCCGTTATCCTTTCATGGTCTTAACCCTCCTCTCCATCTCCCTTTATCTATCATTTTTTTCTCTTTCTGTTTTCATAACTATTAATTATAATCGTTATTATAATTTTTGATTATTCTGTTCTTAACAGCTAAGTAGACAATTGTCTTCACCTTAACATTATTCACTAGGCGACTGTTACACAACTTCCCCTCAATACCTGGTTTTCATGAACAGTTCATGACAAGATATAACTACAAGATCTTTGATTATTCAACACCATCCTATCTACTAGACTTGTTTTTAGTAAACAAAATGAACTGTGAATACGACTGTACAGGTTCTGTAAATGAAATCGTAAGAAAGAAATCTCTTTGCCGAACTATCTTTACTGTTTTTAGTGACACAATGGACCTCTTTTGCTACTTAAAAAACACAATTTAGGTGTCGTACTTCCTTTTTTCTAAAAGTTCAAACAACAAGTTTAGATACATCCATAAAACCAGTAGTTAATATTATGAACAATTATGTTAATATGGTCGTTTTATTTCATAGTAGCTCTTTATTTATGCATATTTAAGCGGCTTTTGTTCAAACACGCATAGTAAAGTACTTTGACTTATCAAGCCGGAATATATTTAGAGATGGCATTAATTTGTGGAACTGGTGCAAAGAAATGTATTAGTGACTTACTTTGAGAATTAGTTTTACTAACTTTTAGACATTGCTTAGTCACTTGTTATTCAGAATATTGATGACGAGTGGTCAATTAGTGTTATCTAATCGTTATTTTAGTCACCTTAGTAGAAAACGGGGGATTACAAATAGCTATCAGTTTAGCCTACGAAAATTCTGTTGACTAAAGGTATTTACTATGATATAATTTTCATACACCCGGTTACCAGACGGAAATAATGGAATGGATGATCACAGAAATCTCAAATACGACCAAAGGTTGAAAAGGTACAAGGAGCTTTTAGTAACTATGTAGTGTTATGGAATCTGTCCAACAATTAATACGATGCACCTACTACTAATAACCATTTAAATCGGATTAACCGGTTTACTTAATAACGTCTATATTTCACACCTGACAATAAAATAAGATGATG